GTAATACTAATAATTAAGTATCTTGTGTTGACCCAGGGACATCATTCCTTATTTAAATAATCATAATAATATAATATCTAATATTAGACAAACTGTAATATTTCACTATATAATATTAATAATAGTAATAATACTAATTATTAAATATATTTTGTTGACCCAGGAACATCATATTTTTATGTTGACCCAGAGACATCATTCTTTATTACTCATCTAATATAAGACAGACGGTAATCAATCACTGTATTTAAATAATCATAATAATAATATAATATCTAATATTACACAAACTGTAATATTTCACTATATAATATTAATAATAATAATAATAATAATAATAATTAAATATATTTTGTTGACCCAGGAACATCATATTTTTATGTTGACTCAGGGACATCATTCCTTATTACTCATCTAATATAAGACAGACGGTAATCAATCACTGTATTTAAATAATCATAATAATAATATAATACCTAATATTAAATAAACTGTAATATTTCACTATATAATATTAATAATAATAATAATAATAATAATTAAATATATTTTGTTGACCCAGGAACATCATATTTTTATGTTGACTCAGGGACATCATTCTTTATTACTCATCTAATATAAGACAGACAGTAATCAATCACTGTATTTAAATAATCATAATCATAATATAATATCTAATATTACACAAACTGTAATATTTCACTATATAATATTAATAATAATAATAATAATAATAATAATAATTAAATATATTTTGTTGACCCAGGAACATCATATTTAATGTTGACCCAGAGACATCATTCCTTATTTAAATAATCATAATAATAATAATATAATACCTAATATTAAATAAACTGTAATATTTCACTATATAATATTAATAATAATAATAATAATTAAATATCTTTTGTTGACCCAGGAACATCATATTTTTATGTTGACTCAGGGACATCATTCCTTATTTAAATAATCATAATAATAATAATATAATATCTAATATTAGACAAACTGTAATATTTCACAATATAATATTAATAATAGTAGTAATAATAATAATAATAATAATTAAATATATTTTGTTGACCCAGGGACATCATATTTTTATGTTGACCCAGGGACATCATTCCTTATTACTCATCTAATATAAGACAGACAGTAATCAATCACTGTATTTAAATAATCATAATAATAATATAATATCTAATATTAAATAAACTGTAATATTTCTCTATATAGGCTAATATTAATAATAGAAATAATAATAATAATGAAATATATTTTGTTGACCCAGGAACATCATATTTTTATGTTGACCCAGAGACATCATTCTTTATTACTCATCTAATATAAGACAGACAGTAATCAATCACTGTATTTAAATAATCATAATAATAAAATATATTTTGTTGACCCAGGCGCATCATACCTCATAGCTCAAGTTTTATCTCATTTGAAGATGATCACAATATGAAACCAATTTCAAATTTCTTAATTAACATTAATTTTCTTCTTTGTACAGATCATCTATGGAGAAAGATAAAGGGTAAATATTATTAAAATATTGTCTGTCTGTATATAAACCAGAAATTTGACTTATTGCAACATTTGTACAAAAATGTTTTATTTTTTTATTGCAACATTTGTACAAAAATTTGTTGTTTTTTTCTTCCTTTTTTTCCTTTGAGGTCCTTCCGTGTGCCCTTATTGACGAAAGAGTCACTTGCGACACTAGATGACGGAATGTGGCTGAATGACATTGTCATAGACATTGCATTGAGGTAATTCTTTTGAAGCATCATAAAACTGCAAATCATAATATTCTTAGCAATAATTTTCAACTAAATCTTTCTAGGTCTGTTCATGAAGAATTAGGACGTCATATAAGGCGGAAATCTTTGATCTACCCAGTGCATTTTTACACTAAATTAAAAACCAGGTAGGAGTTACTGATATGTTAAGAAAGATAAAGGGATCATTAAATGAATTTGAATTTCACAGCCAGTTTCTCTTTATATATTTTTTAGATGTTCATGCTACAGTGTCTAGCCTTGCATGGCTCTTGAAGAAGCCATGTAGTGTCATAGTTATATATTGAATCCTATTATTGAAGAATAATTGTAACCACATGATTTATCATGTCATCTGTGCAATTTTAGTGGATTTTCTGGTGTCATCAACTGGACAAAACATGAGGACATTTTTCGAAAGGACTATCTTTTGATAGTCGAGAATGTTCTAGGGTGAGAACTTTATTTATTTACTGGTTGTTATGACTTATTACACAGCTCTGTGTCAAGCTCAAATATGAATGGCCAGTCGCACCTTCTAACAGTGTGTTGATTCTCAGTAACAACACATATTGGGGTTTATTATGCAATAACCAGTCTAATTAACTTTTCATGTTACATATTAGATGCCCATTTAAACATTTAAAATAATGGAAGTGATGGTGCCCCTTAAAATAGTAGCACTGTGAATGGCACATATGCAATTATCAAAACTTATTTTACTTGTATTGTCTATTAATGATTTTCAGAAATCACTGGAGACTCATGATTGTGTGCTTCCCTGGAAATGAAGAAGTGGAACACATCAAAAGGGGACGAAAATTGGTGCAAAAAAGGAGGTAAATATGTATTTAGCATTTGGGTAATTATATTTGGTGCTGTTACCCCACAATGAAATAACGCTGCTACTTTTAGTCCATTACCAAACATTTATATTATTAGATTTCTCTGTGTTAAATCAATTGTGTTGTACATTTAGGCCTTGCATTTTAATGCTAGACTCCCAGTCTGAGGAAGTGAGTGACAGCATGGATGTGTTCCAAAACATTCGAAGGTTGGTTCTGTTGTATATCGGCCCATATTTTTATGTAAATACAACACAAAATTAAAATTTTTACTCATTCTCAATTTGTTTTAAACATACATGACTTTCTTCTATAGAACACAAAGGAGGACTTTGAAATGGTTACCTGGGATTAGTCATTATCATACAGTGACGATAATAAGTACTGTATGTTAGCTTTTGAACTCCATATAGCATGAAAAAGGACCACAGTTGAAAGTAGTAGTCATTACACATTTATTATATTCCAAGGCTTCTTAAACCATACACTATGTTTGTAACAGTAAGACAAATTCAATTTGATATCAGCAAACTTGAAAAGTGGATAATGGTTAGCGAACAATAATCTTAGTTTCCTAGCTGTCCTGTTAATATATAAAGGGATAAAAAAGTGCCTTAAAGTTTTCTGTTTGGCTAAAAAAATAATTAGACTGTGGTGCACAGACACTTTTATTACAGTTTAGGGCTCTCACAGAGATGGATGCAATTTCAGAACTGTTCATTCTCTATTTATAAAGCTTGAAATAATTCTGTTTTATAATGACAATTGTCATTGATTGTAAACTGACTGAGAAGGACAATCCTCAAAGATGACAATCTGCTCGTGTTCTGTTTGGCAGAAGAAAGTCATTTGAAGTACATTTGGGTGATTAAATTATTGATAGATTTATAGATTGATAGATTTTTCATTTTAGGGTGACCTATCTCTTTAAGATATGAGCAAGTATAATGTTGCAAAGCAAGGACAAGGCATGCTTTAACAAAAAGTTCGGTAACACTTTACAATACGGGTGCACTAATAAGCATTAATTCATGCTTAACTAATGCAGATAATACTGAATTAATGTGTAACTAATGATTATCTAAGCTATTCATTAATGATTACCACATTAGGAACTAATTAAGAGTCTGTAAGGTTAATGTATTAGTTCATACATGCATTGTTATTAATTAAATATGTAATTGTGGATTAATTCCCTAATAACTCATTTTTTTAAATAATAGTGTTAATTAATATGTTAATTACCAGAATGAGCCAAAGCCTTGTATTTCAACTTCCAGATAATACAGGTACACTAATATGCATTTATACATGATTAATTACTTCATTGTTAGTGCAAATTCATGTGTAAATTACTACAATTACTAAATGACTAGTTAATAATGATGTGCCTCAACAAGTAAAGTCATAACATAATGATACCTTTGCAAATCATTAGCTAATGATTAATTAAAGCAGACAACTGGAAGTTGAAGTGCATAGCTTTGACTAATTGTGGTAATTAACACATTAATTTACACTATTAGTTAATAAAATGTTATTAAGGAATTAATACACAATGACACATTGAATTAATAGCAATTCATGTATTACTTAATCTATTAATCATATCGACTCTTTATTAGTTGCTGATGCAGTAATCATTAATTAATGGTGTAGTTCTTCATGAGTCATACATTAACTCATGATTATCTGTGCATTAGTTAAACATGAATTAATGCATATTAGTGCACCCGTATTGTAAAGTGTTACCAAAAGGTCAATAAAATATCATAGAGATAAACATTTAATAAGGTTGTTTTTGTATTGCAGTTACTTAACAGAAATGTGGAAAAACACAAGAAAAAAGCCTCGCACCTTTTCTGCAGATTCTATGCCAGCCCTGAAAGTGCGGGTACCCGGACAGCAAGGAAACATGTCTGAATGCGGCATATTTGTGTTACTCTATGCAGAGAACTTTCTGAAGGTAAGTAAAATGGTTTCATAGATGTTGGTTAGCACTTTTTTTTCTTTCTTTCAATCATGGCACTGTGCATGTCACTAAAATAAAACAAATAATTTATGTTTCAATTCTTTCCTCTAGGATCCTCCCAAAGAACTAATTGATGAACTTGACTGTACATCCTGGTTTACACTGGCCGATGCATTTTCAAGGCGTGCACAGATCAGGGACAAAATGCGAAGTAGTTTAGAAGGTGTGTTTGTCTATTTATAGCCTGATGAAATCAATTCAGTTAAAATATCTAAAATCATGTGCCACTATTTTCTTACATTTTAGGAAGATATTTTAAAAACAGCATAGGGTGCACAAGCATAACTTTCTGTTGTTTTGATTTGTCAGATGATATACTTAACCTGTGCAACAATAATCTTGTAATACTGGTGATTGACTATGAGTTTTGTTTATGCAGCACAGGCAAGAGAAGCAGAGGAAAACAAAGCAGAAGAAAGAGAAAGTGAAGAGGAGCAAACGGTTGCTGAGAGTGAGCAAGAGAAAAACATAGCCAAGAAAAGAAAAATAGAAGGTATAGAGGAGGAAAAGATGCCTGAGGAAAAAAAAGAAGACAAAACAACCCAGGGAGGAAACTATACAGTTCTGGGTAGGCTGTCAGTGCCAGGCACCAAAAGGAAGTACACTGTAACCCAAGATGAACTGAAGAGAAGAATCATGGCAGAAAACATGTCTAACAATCTGTTAAGAAGCCTGATTAGGGTTTGTATATGCTCTCTATATAAACCTTATAGCTATTTGCTATACTTTTAAATTAGAGCAAAACATTTATAAAACAGTAACATTGGTTTTACCTAAAGGTTCGTAAAGAGGATCTCCCTGAGGAGCTCAGAGAACAGCGGCCGATCAAAGCAAAGACAAAGATAAGCATGTTCTCTGCTCTCAGTGAAGGGGAGGCCACAGATTTGGCCCAGGATCTGGGAGCCATGCTTGGGCGACATGTACACCTAGACATGACTGAAAGTGTTCCCAGTGCTGAGGCAGACGTTGCAAAGTAAGTTGCTTTCCACATTTAGATTTTTTAAACTTGCATCTTGCTTTAAAATCTGTCCATTGATATTTACAGGAATACACTCTGCACTCTCCAGCACTTGCTAAGGGAAAAACTGGGAGAGGAATCACCTTTTAGTCTGCTAACCCATACGCTTGGACCACAAGTGGTAGATGTTGTCATCTCATTTTTAATCAGTCAGTTTAAGTAGAGGTTCACTGAGCCATTGAACACAATAACTAATGATTGTTAAATTGTAACAAACATTGTCATCTCAGTTAAGCAAGTAATGTTACATTTAATTGGTTTAAAATATACAACATATCACTGTTGCAGAACACATTCAGACAGCTGAGTAATGTAAAACGTTCATGGTTTGTTTAGCTTTATTTACAATTAAAGATGGCATTATTACTATTTTTTTCAGATTTCAGATGTTGTAAAACGATGCATTTAAAATGTATAAGTAAAATAAACATCCAAAAATCAGCAGCCTCCTTCACTTCATTTCTCATATGCACACTTAAATTTAGCAAGTTAATTTTAAATGTATATTTTACATTGTCTTAGTGCCTTAGTTTGTTTTTTTCATATCTACATTCACTTTTATAATTTAGTTTGTCGTCTTTTGAATTTCAGTCCATACTTTCGTTTCATGTTTTTTGCTCTGTGTGGAAACAATGGTCTTATCTTTCTTGTCAGGTCTGTAGTTACTGCTGAAAATGCGGCTGTTGATCTACTCATGCTGGCATTTGTTACACTGTCATGCAGGTTTTGAATTTGCTGGCTAATGTGCTGAGGAATTGTCTGCCAATTCTGCACACTCTCCAGTATTTCCTTTAACTTCTGCACTTCAGTTTTTGAGTGGTTTGCTGCAGTGTTCACATTTAACTGCATTGACGTGTCTTCTTGCCACAAAGTAGGTACAGCTCTTGTTGATATGACATCAAATAATTCACTTGCCAGTAGAAAGCAAGCACATTTCTCAATGTAAGAGTATGTACAACAGGTGCATTGAAATGTCATCGCAGAAGTGTGGTAAATTCTCTCATGACATAAACTTTGTACATCTACCTCTTTTGTGTCAGTGCACAGAATGGAGTAAAGCTTCTTTTGCTTAAGTACGCTAGCATGTGCGTTTATTTGATGATCCAAAGCAGGAAATTTTTTAGAGTCATGTTTACTCAGCAACTCAATCACTACAAGATGTTTACAGGGATGTCCTCTGATTCCAATTGGGCAGCTACAAAAACTTTCAGATGGACAAACTTTGTAGGATAGACCAGGGGTTTGTTCTGATGGAACTTCATAAAGGTACGTGTCGTTGGATATAAGATTAATGCTATCTTGCCAACCTTTTTCCACCAATCTAGAGGCAGACTTAAGTATTTCTCCTGACTTCAAAGAGGCATTTTTCATTCTTCCAGCTGCCTGCAAATCGTGAATGACCTGGAAGTATCCATCTGTCTTCTTGATGAGAATGCTGATAAGATCATCCAGTCTACGGTTCCTAATGCCTCCCAAAAACTGATATTTTAGGCGATGGAAAAATCTAATTGGACAAGCAAAGAAAAACAATGCATGTTTTAATGTGATTGTTTTAGTTTGATATTATGATATGATAACAACATCAAAATGCTGGTGATTCTATTACATAATGTGAATTAACTCATAATCAAGTTTCATAAGTTTAATTTAAAATATTACCTTTCAACAAGATTGTTTGTATCGGAGTCAGCATGGTTGTAGCACCGTCCAAAGTCAGACCATGTGTGTCCTATTTCTAGCCAGTGATCCTTGAAGTATGAGCAAAGAGCTGGGAAATCTTCAAACCTCTTGAGGAATTGTTCAGCAGTTGACTTAAAATCTTGATGCTATTTTAACAAAATTAAAAAAGAATAGGTGATTTAATGTTAAATGTAACTGATTTAATGTTTATTTTAAAATAGTTATATAAATAGTAATAGTACAATTAAGGAAGCAAAATTGAATTGTTAATTGTACGCACTGTTGCACAAAGCTTCATCTTTCTGACGAAAGAAATGATTTCTGTTCTAACATCAGTATTTGATGGCCCACTGACTCCAGAGTCTGTCTTCGAAAGCCAGCGGACAACAGCCTGAAAAAAGAGACAATAAATAACTTACGGTACATTTTTCAAATATAAAGAATATATACATTTGTATGTATACATACTTGCATAACATGATACCAGCAAAGCAAGATATCTGACTCTGGGAAGACTTTCCGCAAGGCATTCATCTCACACATATCCTTGTCCACCATAAAGCACCTAGAGGAAACAAAATAGCATACAAGAAGGATGAAGAAACAATAGCCATGTTAACTATATATATATATATATATATCCTTCAATAAAGATAAATACAAATGCGTTATATATAACTGCATTAGCAGATTTATTTATTTTTTACATGTGAAAAACTCTGCCAGTGTGGAGTAAGACATAATGAGACTATATTAAAGATACATTCTCTGAAAACAAGTCTTTTACATCTTATGCAGTGTTGCATCAGAATGTAAATTTCTTGAAACATTTTTCTTGTTTTAAGAATGTAATAACTATGCTAAGTACATGTAACATATGTAACAAGTGCACTGTAAAATAAAATGTTACAGAGTAATTTTTTGGCAGGGCAGTGAGATTTCTGGGGGTAATTCTATAATAATTCCAATAATTGGGTAAAACCAATAATTCTACTTCAAGTATGTAAATTTAATTAAACTAAAAAATGTATATATACATACCTTGGTGCAGCAGGACACACTCTCCTTAACTGCTGTAAAGCTATCTCTAGTGTTGCCTCTTTCTCATTGCCTGTTACTATAAATGCGACTGGAACTCCATGGCCATAGTCATCTCTTATAGCCAGGGTATAAAGTGGAAAATTATACTGGTTGACGCAATGAGTAGCATCCAAAAATATAATGTTCTTTCCATGTCTGTGTAGATTCTCTCTCATGTTGGGAGTCTGAAGGATAATTATGAGATCCTTCTCATGGGAAAAAGGCTGAAAAAAAACAACATTATCCTTGAGGTGACTGGTCAATAATTTGGCTGAACTAACAGCATCATCTTTATCCAAATGGCTTCGGCGTACCAAGCATGTACGTATATTCTCAATGTCCTTTGGAGTGACAAAGTACTGACGGTTGTTCAAGTCGGTGTGTCCACGAGATCTGGACCATTTGTGGGATTCCAGTAGAATGATATCTGGCTTGACCCCCAATGAGATCCATTCTTCAATTTGTTTGACCAAATCTGGACACACTGTTTGAAAGTGTCCTTCTTGTTCACAAGTTGCATTGTGGCCATTGTGCTCTTTGCTGGTGCGTTGTACAATGATTTTGTGGCTCAGCCAATCACTTTTAATCTTAAATGATGTGTAAGCCATACATCCTGAGCTCTTGTAACTTCCATCAACAGGGTTCCCTGACCGGATACAGTAGAAAATGTAGTACCCTTTATCCTTGTCCTTTTGACTTGCAGAATTTGTGTTTCTAAAATTTGTCAAAGTTGTAAGTTTTTCTTGTATGAACGTCTCATGATTTTCTTCTTTCTTCAGGATATGCACATCAACTGTTATATTTTTGTTTTTTCCTCTTTGTCTTTCTTCACGCAACACTCTTTTCTTAATGAAACCCTCCATTTCTCTTTACATTCTGGGTAGAAAAACATGCATTATCTTTAGGGTTTTTGTCTCAGAATGTCTTTTATATTCTTAAAATAGTGTAACCACTATTATAATTAGAGTAAATACAACTTGGCCAAAAATAGACTACAAATGCTCTCCATAATATTACAATATAACACCCTGGGTCAGTAAGATAATTCATTATTATTAGGGGCCAAGCACAGAATGTGCGTAGGCACCTATTGTTTTCGTTCGCGTTCTTCTTCGTATTATTATTATTCATTTTTCCGACTGGGAGTCTATGGTAGCCCAAATAACCGCTTGCGGGAAAGTTATAACGGTTTTACATTCTGATAGAGGACAATCCCAAAATCAAATACACCAATTTTGGTGTCTCTAACTCATTCCCTCTAGCGCCACCACCTGTCCAAAGTTTCACTCATATTTATGCGAATAACTTTTTAACCATAATGCCTTCTGATCCCTGAGCTTATGCCGATTCGATTGCATCCTATGTCGTAATTTTCCGTCATATATAAATATGTCCGCCATTTTGAATTGTCCAAAAAAACTAATTTTTCAAACTCGTCCTAGATGGTTTGTCCAATTTGCACCCGATATTTCATTATTTTTATTACATATATTAGCCTACATATATTACAGTTTGTCTAATATTAGATATTATATCATTATTATGATTATTTAAATACAGTGATTGATTACCGTCTGTCTTATATTAGATGAGTAATAATGAATGATGTCTCTGGGTCAACATAAAAATATGATGTTCCTGGGTCAACAAAATATATTTAATTATTATTATTATTTCTATTATTAATATTAGCCTATACAGAGAAATATTACAGTTTATTTAATATTAGACATCATATTATTATTATGATTATTTAAATACAGTGATTGATTACCGTCTGTCTTATATTAGATGAGTAATAATGAATGATGTCCCTGGGTCAACATAAAAATATAATGTTCCTGGGTCAACAAAATATATTTAATTATTATTATTAATATTATATAGTGAAATATTACAGTTTGTGTAATATTAGATATTATATTATCATTATGATTATTTAAATACAGTGATTGATTACCGTCTGTCTTATATTAGATGAGTAATAAAGAATGATGTCTCTGGGTCAACATAAAAATATGATGTTCCTGGGTCAACAAAATATATTTCATTATTAGTATTATTACTATTATTAATATTATATAGTAAAATATTACAGTTTGTCTAATATTAGATATTATATTATTATTAGTATTATTATGATTATTTAAATAAGGAATGATGTCCCTGAGTCAACATAAAAATATGATGTCCCTGGGTCAACACAAGGCATTTAATTATTATTATTATTACGATTATTAGTGAAAATTACAGTTTGTCTAATATTATATATTATATTATTATTATGATTATTTAAATACAGTGATTGATTACCGTCTGTCTTATATTAGATGAGTAATAAGGAATGATGTCCCTGGGTCAACATAAAAATATAATGTTCCTGGGTCAACAAAATATATTTAATTATTATTATTAATATTATATAGTGAAATATTACAGTTTGTGTAATATTAGATATTATATTATCATTATGATTATTTAAATACAGTGATTGATTACCGTCTGTCTTATATTAGATGAGTAATAAAGAATGATGTCTCTGGGTCAACATAAAAATATGATGTTCCTGGGTCAACAAAATATATTTCATTATTAGTATTATTACTATTATTAATATTATATAGTGAAATATTACAGTTTGTCTAATATTAGATATTATATGATTATTTAAATAAGGAATGATGTCCCTGGGTCAACACAATATATTTAATTATTATTATTACATAGATTACAGTTTGTCTTGATATTATATTATTATTATGATTATTTAAATACAGTGATTGATTATCGTCTGTCTTATATTAGATGAGTAATAAAGAATGATGTCTCTGGGTCAACATAAAAATATGATGTTCCTGGGTCAACAAAATATATTTAATTATTATTATTATTTCTATTATTAATATTAGCCTATACAGAGAAATATTACAGTTTGTCTAATATTAGATATTATATCATTATTATGATTATTTAAATACAGTGATTGATTACCGTCTGTCTTATATTAGATGAGTAATAGGGTCAACATAAAAATATGATGTTCCTGGGTCAACAAAATATATTTAATTATTATTATTATTTCTATTATTAATATTAGCCTATACAGAGAAATATTACAGTTTATTTAATATTAGATATTATATTATTATTATGATTATTTAAATACAGTGATTGATTATTGTCTGTCTTATATTAGATGAGTAATAAAGAATGATGTCCCTGAGTCAACATAAAAATATGATGTTCCTGGGTCAACAAAATATATTTAATTATTAGTATTATTACTATTATTAATATTATATAGTGAAATATTACAGTTTGTCTAATATTAGATATTATATTATTATTAGTATTATTATGATTATTTAAATAAGGAATGATGTCCCTGAGTCAACATAAAAATATGATGTCCCTGGGTCAACAAAAGGCATTTAATTATTATTATTATTACGATTATTAGTGAAAATTACAGTTTGTCTAATATTAGATATTATATTATTATTATGATTATTTAAATACAGTGATTGATTACCGTCTGTCTTATATTAGATGAGTAATAAGGAATGATGTCTCTGGGTCAACATAAAAATATGATGTTCCTGGGTCAACAAAATATATTTAATTATTATTAATATTATTATTAATATTATATAGTGAAATATTACAGTTTGTGTAATATTAGATATTATATTATTATTAGTATTATTATGATTATTTAACTAAGGAATGATGTCCCTGAGTCAACATAAAAATATGATGTCATGGGTCAACAAAATATATTTAATTATTAGTATTATTACTATTATTAATATTATATAGTGAAATATTACAGTTTGTGTAATATTAGATATTATATGATTATTTAAATAAGGAATGATGTCCCTGGGTCAACACAATATATTTAATTATTATTATTACATAGATTACAGTTTGTCTTATACTAGATATTATATTATGATTATGATTATTTAAATACAGTGATTGATTACCGTCTGTCTTATATTAGATGAGTAATAAGGAATGATGTCTCTGGGTCAACATAAAAATATGATGTTCCTGGGTCAACAAAATATATTTAATTATTATTATTAATATTATATAGTGAAATATTACAGTTTGTGTAATATTAGATATTATATTATTATTAGTATTATTATGATTATTTAACTAAGGAATGATGTCCCTGAGTCAACATAAAAATATGATGTCCCTGGGTCAACAAAATATATTTAATTATTAGTATTATTACTATTATTAATATTATATAGTGAAATATTACAGTTTGTGTAATATTAGATATTATATGATTATTTAAATAAGGAATGATGTCCCTGGGTCAACACAATATATTTAATTATTATTATTACATAGATTACAGTTTGTCTTATACTAGATATTATATTATGATTATGATTATTTAAATACAGTGATTGATTACTGTCTGTCTTATATTAGATGAGTAATAAAGAATGATGTCTCTGGGTCAACATAAAAATATGATGTTCCTGGGTCAACAAAATATATTTAATTATTATTATTATTTCTATTATTAATATTAGCCCATACAGAGAAATATTACAGTTTATTTAATATTAGATATTATATTATGATTATGATTATTTAAATACAGTGATTGATTACCGTCTGTCTTATATTAGATGAGTAATAATGAATGATGTCCCTGAGTCAACATAAAAATATGATGTTCCTGGGTCAACAAAATATATTTCATTAATATTACATTTTATATAAGGCTACAGTTTGCCTTATGGGCCTACTAGATATTGCATTATTATTATTATGATTATTTAAATACAGTGATAGATTACAGTTTGTCTTATATTAGATATTGTATTGATATTATTTTGATTGAATAACCCGCATTATTGGTAGCCTATTTGGTCCCATCCGCTAAAGTGTTTTGCTTTTCTTTTGCAAAAGGATTATGAGGGTCTGCTAAACGAATGCAGGGGAAAAGTGATATACATCAACGGGAGAAAAGATCCGACGATACGATCACGGGGAAAACACCATACCGGATCGGATGACGAAACGATCTCGGTCCGATAGGAGATTTGCACCTTATATGAGCAGTTTAGTTAGTGTTGTTAGCGTTAGTAATGCATTCATCGTGAAATTAAAAAGAATACATTACAGTAGATACAGACACGCATTTGAAATTATACGTTTTATACAAATTGCACTTACCTCTGTGAAATGAAGTAGAGACGTTGATGGCTGGCAAATTCAAAAAGTAGCGCTCAATCTGGATGATGTCACGTGATGAATCTGATTGGTTGATCAATTTTGCATAAGCACCTCCCTTGTTGACCCAGGAACGCGTCTAACTCGGCAGAATCAGGACGTGCCAGACGGACATTCTGACTAGAATATGAGTATGACGAAGTCAGGCTAGATTTCAATGTGTTTAAACGAGAAAACAAGCCCAAAAACAATGGGCGTTTTTTTGTGCATTCTCGCGGTTTTTGACGAGGTTTTGGGCTGGAAAACCTTGCTGGCATCTGGGGAGACCACACACGAGGAGAAATCGGGCCAAAAAAATCCAACATGTTGGATATCCCCGATTTGAGATCGGAGCGGTCCCGACGTCCTTCCGAGCAGACGAGAGCAGTCTTAACACACCACACACGACAGGAATATCTGATCAGATTATTTTACGATAATCGGAGCATCCTTAAGATTGTCGGAAGGGGTGAATCGGGGCTAAAATCGGCCTAATTATCCTGCCGTGTGAACCAAGCTTTAGGGTTTGGTTTAGGGTTAGTTACTTGTAATTATGCATAAGTTCTGTTATTACTAGTAAGTACATGTAAAAACATGTAACTTCGTCACCTTAAAATAAGGTATTATAGACCCAAATATT